CTCCCCTACACTCTCCTCCTCACTCTCCTCTCCACTCTTCTCTCCACTCTCCCTTCCACTCTCCTCTCCACTCTCCTCTCCACTCGCCTCTCTTCACTCTCCTCTCCACTCTCTTTCTCCACGTTCTACCTCTCCAGCGTGCTTAGCACTCTTCACTCTTGCCCCTCCACTCACTCCTCTCCATCTAGCATCTTCTCCAGCTCCCCTCATCACCTCTTCCTCTCACTAATCTTCCACTCTTCCATACCCACTTCCTCTCTTGTCCACTCTCCTCTCCACTCTCCCCTACCTCTCCTCCTACTCTCCTCTCACTCTTCTCCTCACTGATCTCCTCCTTTCCACTCGGTCGCAGCTCACCTTCTCCTCTGCCACTTGCACGCTGCTGACTTCTATTGCGCCCCTCCCCACTCTCTCTCCACGCGACCTCTCACTCGCCTTCTCCTGCCGCAAAAACTCTCATTCTCCATCTCCACTCATCCTGGCTCTCGACTCTCACTACTCACCTCCCTCCCTCCCTCCCTCCCTCCCTCCCTCCCTCCCTCCCTCCCTCCCTCCCTCCCTCCCTCCCTCCCTCCCTCCCTCCCTCCCTCCCTCCCTCCCTCCCTCCCTCCCTCCCTCCCTCCCTCCCTTCTTCCTTCCCTCCCCCCCCTGCCCTCCCGTCGCCATTCTGCGTCGGCCTCCGCCTCGCCTTTATACCTTCCCTCAAATCCTTAGCATATCAAAGTCTCGCTTCAATCCTCGCCTTGCTCCCTCCCTCCCTCCCTCCCTCCCTCCACCTCCCCCCCCTCCCCCCCACCCCCCCCTCCCTCCCTCCCTCCCCCCCCCCCCTCCCCCACCTCCCCCCCCCCCCCCCCCCCCGCCCCCCCCCCCCCCCCCCCCCCCCCCCCCACCCACCCCCCCCCCCCCCCCCCCCCCCCCCCACCCCTCCCCTCCCTAGCCCCTCTTCCCCTCCCGCCTCCTTCGTCCCCCCACCCCTGTCCTTTCCCTTCCCCCTCCCCCTCTCCTATCTCCTCTTCTTTCCCTTGGACTCCTCTCTCACCTCCCCCTCTATCCTCTTCCTCTCCTCTCCCTTTCTTCAGTGTTTGTTTTTTTTTTTTTTTTCGTTTTCCTTTTTTCTAGCGTGTTCTTTTTCACAGCCTACAACCAATTCTTGTACAACATTCACTCATCTAAGGAGGGCCATACCTCTAGTTAAAAAATAGGTGCTTACGCTGATGGGGTTATACAAGTCAAGGGTTGGCATTGAGGGGTCGATCCTTGGCGCCTCCAGCGCTAGTAGTCCCAATTTTGGGGACAAACAGGGTGGCCAACCCCTGGGCAGCAGCCCTGCCAAACCCATTATGGGAGACCTCTCTCTGTATGAGGGTTTGACCACCCTCATACTTAGATCTCAGGTCAAAAAATAAACCAAGCAATTACTACACTAAATCAAACTTTATTAAGGTAAGAGGAGAGACCAATAACTGTTTTGTTCTCAAAGATTTTGGTAATAATAACATGAGCTACAAGTGTAATAGACAATGTAGAGTATGTAACATTACAGATACTGCCAACTACATAATTTCTAATGTGACGGGATTACACATTAAAACATATAAAGAATGCAGATACAAACTGTAATACAAAAAATGTTATATACTGTTTAACATGCAACGGCTGTGGAATACAATATGTGGGATGACAATAAGAAAACTTAAAGAAAGAATTGGAGAACACATTACAAATATTTCTACACATAAAATACACACACCCCTATACAATCATTTTTATAAATGTGATAAAGGAGTTACTGTAACCATACTTGACTCTATGAAGCCTAATGATAAACCAGTTTACTTGAGAAAGAACTGTTCTGGATTAAACTCTTAATGACACCCTATCCGTTTGGATTAAATGATAACATCAAAGGATATGGTAACATAACGGAATAATGTTGCTAATGTAATGTACAAAAATAATCCCCCATACTTTGCGCTCACAATAACTAAACAAAGGATAATAGAGGATTAAAGAAAAACAAGAAAAATAAAAGAAAAGCAACATTTAGAAGCTCTAGAATAAAATTGATAGACAAGAAAATCTCAAACCATTAGAATATTACAGAATTCTCAAAAGTTTGAGTAAAGTTGAAATTAAAGAAATAATCAAGTTATCTTACAATACTGAATTTTTGAAAAATGTAAATAATAAGACAAGGTTTCTAGTTTTTTGTTTATTGGCACATTTCCAACATAATTATACCTATAAAGATAATACTCCTAAAAGAAAAATATTTCACAACATAATTGTTAATTATAAAAGCAGAATATTTGACCAAATTCCATTTAATAGTATTTTTAATTCAAAATTCATAAAGCAATACATACGAAGTAATAAAAATACAAACGCAGAATTTATCCCAACAAGGGTTGTTTTTCAAATATGATGGAGCATTTTCTAGTAAGATCTATAATTATAATCACACCTTGAAAAACCTGGACAGAATATCACTACATAGGATTCTTAATAGTGACTGTGTCTGTCATGAAGTAAACATAAAAAAATATATTAATAAAAATTTTGGACACGTTGTTACAGGAGATCTTAACATAATTAGAAAACGATAACTTCAGAAAATTCTTGCTAAAGGTACCAAATACAGAATGGACAAAGGAATTACAAGAAAAGAAATTCAAAATTGTATGAACAAATATTGGATAAAGTCTGTATATTTTATAAAAATAAATATAGATGCAAAACGGATAACCTCAAATTAATTAAACAATATTTCCTTGCTAGTTATCATAAAAAAATTAAACCTCTTCTGACTTATGATAACATAAACAGAATAAGTGATGACATTCCTACCGATATAATTACAAAATATAGAGGTCATTATGTTTTTTGCCCCCTGGATAAAGGCTAGCAATAACTATGGTGTTATCTGTAAAAAATTCTACTTAGAAGTTATAATGAAAGGAAATGGGACTTTTCTTTAATAAAATTAATAATAGCTTCGGTTATGAAGAAGTTAACAGCACTTACCAACTCATGGAAAGTGCTAATTTAGAACAATTAATAGATAAACATAAGAAATTTTGTCTGCATAATAATTTAAAACAGAACAAGAACCAAGAATTACCAGTTATTTACGCTCTTCCTAAATTACATAAAAATCCTTGTAAATTCAGATTTATAACAGGAGCTAGAAAAAGTAGCTTAAAGCCTTTGGCTAAAGAACTGCAAACGATTTTTACACATTTTAAAAAGCATTTCATTAATTATGTTAAAATAATGCAAGAACGAACAGGGACTATAAAAACTTATTGGGCTATAGATAATATAAACATAAGCAAGAGAATTATGTAGCATTAAAATATGATAATATAAAGATATATACAGCTGATTTTGTAGATATGTTTACTAATTTACGACATAATGTTATTATTAAAAATATCAGTGAGTTACTTTTCTTGTTGTTCAGAAATGCAAACAAGCACTACGTAGCTACTAATGGTCTACATGTTTTTTATACAGATGGTATAGAATATAAAACCAACTATAGATACTATAATATACAAGAATTGTTATACTTAGTAGAATATTTGCTTAATAATAGTTACTGCATTTTTGGAAATAATATATTCAAACAAATAAAAGGAGTTCCACAAGGAGGTAATTTCAGTCCACTTTTAGCAGATCTACATTATCAGTTATGGAATATAATTTCGCGAAGAATTTCAAGAAAAATAACAACTTCATTTTTGAACCTTACAGATATATGGACGATCTTTTAATTATACATAACATAGATGAAGCCGATATGGATGTAAAACTTGAAATGGCTTATAACCATATACTTGAACTTAAAAAAACTCATATCAGTGGAAAACATAGCAACTACTTAGATCTTAAAATTAATGTAGATAAGAATTACATTATCACAGAATTGTACAATAAGACAGATGACTTTAACTTTAAAGTTAACAGGTTCCCACATAGTAACTCCAACATAAGTGAAAATAATAAATCTTCGGTTATATATACAGAAACCCTTAGAATAGCTAATACATGTACAGATTGGACAAATTCGTAATAAAAATAAAAGAAATGATAAGTATACTCATTGGTAATGAGTATAAAAAAGAATTTATCTTAGCTAGTATAGTTAAATGTATCTACAGAAATAAATACATTTGCTATAAGTACTCCTTAAATGATGACTTCAATAGAATTGAAAAGATGGTCCATGAATGGATTTGTAGAATAGGCTAGTTTAGTAGTTCTTATAATTTTTAGTGGTATTTATATACCTCTTATGTTTTATTACGTACTTCAGTTGTCATTTATGACTTTATTTATTTATATGCTTCCCATACAATTAGTAATAGGTTTCAACTTAAACAATTGTGCTCCATTTTAACTGCTGGACAGTACTGAGTATTGGCTCTACCGTATACCATAGTAATTTTTAGGGAACATACAGGTAGCCTTTTTTATATGTTATGTAGTGTGTAATTTTCTTCATTCTTTTTCAATAATTTCTTCTTATCCTCACTGGTCTTTATTTTTATTTTTTATTATTTTTTTATAACCTTTACCAATTAGACTAATTCTGTCATTCCTAGCCTCACTGAGGAGCCTCCTGGGATTGACAGAATAAAGTGGTTCGTCTGAGTGGAGGCGAAACGAACCACTCTAAAGATAGAAGGTTAATTATACATACTTAATTCATCTATTGGACTGTGCTAGTACACAGGGAACTACGAGGGAAACCCGTGTTCTTTGTTGTACCGGTTCCGTCTATCGGGTTTTTCATTCTTTTCACTGTATTTTAATTGAGGCAATTGCCTCCTGTCACCAGTGGTGATTGGTTTTGGACCAGTGGTCCTTTATACGTCAATCGACGTACTTTTTATAGCCTTTTTTGTGAACTGTTCTCATTCAACTCAACAGTTTATTATTAACCCTGAACATAACACAACAATTTTTTAAAACATTTGCATATAACGTAGTTTTCTTTAGACATTCTCTTCTTCTTCGGGACTGGCTTCCCTACGTGGGATCTTGGGATTTACATGCTTTTGGCCAGATCCCTCTCTTTTACGATTATGTCGATCCTTAATTATTTTATCAATTTATTCTGTCTCTTAATTATTACATTAAGCATACTTACCCCTTCTACGGTATCGTTGACCGGGTTATTTTCCAAAGATAACAGCGACTCTAAGGTGTAACTGTTCCATGGGATTTTGCCATCCTAAAAATTTCTGACACAATATTCAAACTATACAGGCGCTGTACAATGAATTTCTAATACATATAAGAATTCTTTAAGTTAAGTCCTACTTCGTAATCTTTCCGCTCCTCTTCCGTTAGCAATTTAAGTATAGGTATGCCTTTCCAATCAGTATATTTCCAGCCTAATTTGATTGCCAAGATAGTTGCCTTCATAGTCTTAATTATTTATATTAACAGACTTTCAGCTAACAACATTTATTGTGTACTTACTACTCCTTCCGATGCTTCCTTGTTCTTCATAGTTATAAAGCCATTTTTAACGTTGACTTCCGGAATAGGATAATGATGAAAGGAACAGTAGTCACGTATTTTCTTACGTAGATAAAGACTATAAAAGCAATATTTGGCTTACGATTATATGATCAAGCTATCTGACCTAGCTACCTCTACTTAGGTACCTTAGGTTATCCATATCCGCAATCGGCAAAGTACGTTCACGTTGGATCTTCACATGACTTTTGTTTGTGCGATTGTAGATTTGCAAATAATTTTTGCCCTTAGATATGAAGTACTCCCAAAAGGAATAACTCATCTCAGCCTAAAGTTATTATGTTTTTTAAAATGTATAACTTATATAAATGTCGTGAATGTCACGTACACGAATATTAACAGTGCCGTCCTTATTAGTGCCTGCGCCCTTTATCCAAGCCAACGCGTGGATATCAGCTACATTTTCATACCTAGATTTGTTCATTAGTAATCACTATATAGGTTATTTTGAGATTCGTACAAAATAAATACCTTAGTATGTCACGCAGTACCACTTTAGCTAACTCCGTACAGTTCAACTTTTCAGGATTTGGTATAAAAAGGATTCGTATATGTTTGGATAAAACTGCTTTATTGATGTTTTCTTGATGCTTCAAAGCACGGGCTACTTGGTCGACATTTTCTAGTCGAAACCAGATATCTTAAAATTTCTTATTGGTATGTTGTGTTTTGTGCGTTTCCCAGTATAATTAATAGAATACTTATACTCACATTTGACATCTTATCTTTAATACCTGCACTATCGTCCAAAGTGGCGTATAAAGTAAGGATGTATCGTATTGAATATTGAGCGAAATGTTGCTACTGCGTAGTTTCCTTAAGACAACATACATAATTAATCTCTAACACAATTCAAATACTACAGTCTAAAGTGATTGATTATCGTAAACATTTTACACTTTACACTGTGTGACTTTTACAGTGTGTACACTTTACGCTTTACGTGTGAGTGCTGAAAGCTATGGTACGTATACCATGAAAAGCTGAGTTGGAATGAAATGGTGCCCCGGTAGCGTAACTGGTAGCGCACTTGCCCGGAAAGCGAGAGGTGCGGGTTCTAGTCCCGCCTGGGGCGAAAGTTTTGTTCACAACCCAGCATTCTTGTGAAACATTCGCAACGCGAACTGCGGCGTTAAAACAGCAGTTAACAAAACAAGTCAAAACATAGTTCCAAAGTCATCACTAACTTTTGGCTATAAATGTAAAAGTATGACGGTCTGATTAACGTTTGCCTGTCTAATACTCTCATACATATTATAATTGAGCGGGAAAGTTATGCATGAGGTTATAAGACAACTCTCTATAACAACATTAAATACTAGAAATATTAGATACATCTAAGATGACTTACCTTGTACGAGGTGTGGAATCACATAAAAATCCAAGCACTCATACAAGAATATAATACGTCGAATTTCTAAAAAAGTAATATTTACATTGCATAATTAACCTAAGTATTAACTATCAACGCATTGCAAATATGGAACATAGCTTAGTATAATAGTATAAAATACTAGGATTGTCAAGTACATCAAACATGGCTTACCTTACAGTACGTATGGATTCACACAAAAATCAGCGTACGCACTAGCTAGCATAAAATACATTCGACACCTAAAAAATAAAAAAATAGCATAGCATAATTAACCTAAATATTATCTATCAACGCATTGCAAATATGGAACATAGCTTAGTATAATAGTATAAAATACTAGGATTGTCAAGTACATCAAACATGGCTTACCTTACAGTACGTATGGATTCACACAAAAATCTGCGTACGCACTAGCTAGCATATAATACATTCGACACCTAAAAAATAAATGTAATGCTAGGTACTCCGTTTTAATTTACACCCTTTTCTCTATACATAAAGTAATAACATCAACTTTAGCTCAATACAACTTGTTAAAACAATATGCAATGATTTATAACTAATGTTTTTCACTATACTTACCTGTCCTTTTGTTTTGTACACAAATTCAAGTCAGCTTGAAGTCCAGCCCACAAATGGATATAATGGATCCTGAAATATAAAGTTCTATTGTATAGAAATACAATAATTCAAGA